TGCCTGAAGAAGTGGTTTTATCAGAGTCCATACAGATGTTCAAACAGTTACTAGATACATACTTGCAAAAACAGAATATGCAAGGATATAATATTTCAATGTAGGGGTAATAACTGCTTGATCCAAGGATAAAGCTGACTGCCATTCTGGGGTCAAGTAGGAATTTTTTTTTCCTAGCTTGTTGCAAAATTTAGCTTGGGTTTTTTGCCTTCTTTTGGATCAACAGCAAAAAACAAATGTGAGGATGGCTGAACTTGATGGACGCAAGTCTCTTTTCAGCTTTGTAACTATGTAACAGTGTTTCAGACGTAGCTTGGCTTGATGGTGTCGAGGGAGTACTCTCCGTCTTTGTTTCTGATGGTTTCAATTGAGATTTGGAGTGCTCGGTATGGGTTTTGTTTTTTGTTTTCCCAGGTTGGATGAACTTCTCCATGTTTTCTAGAATATAGTAAAGTAGAGAATATACAGTCCCTGCATGAACTTGAACAACTGATGTTAAAATCAGTAGGACTTAGGTCATGGTGTCACCAGCGGTTGTGATGGAGAACAAACATGGCCTTTTTTTGTTATAATTGGCTTGTGCTAGTTGAGCATTCACTGAAATAACGTTTGAAGCAATTATGATGAGATATGAAGTATGCAGAAAATAATGAAAAATAAACTATTTACAGTTTCTGGTTTAACTTGGCTAGCCAGAATGCAAGTACAGAACTGAGCTGACAGTTGGGTGTAAATCATTTGATTGATCTATGCCAAATGTATTTTTAGCTTTCTGAAATTAGAATACCCCTTATTCTTGTTGAAGAAAATCAGGAACTGATTTGGGTTTGATGCAATAAATAAACTTGATGTGTAGATGAGATGAGGCAATCAATATCAAGATATGAAGTAAAAAGCAATGAAACTAAAGTATGTACAAGCTCTTCACGAGGATGTATTGAGGATCTGGAGTGGATCATCCATAGAGCCATTGCTGAGAAGACGGGCCCAGTAAGACTGTAGAACAAGTAGACCTTGTGGGGGGACAAGCGCCATGTCGTGCTCTGTCTGCGGTTTGATATTGTCAGGATCTTACCGGATGTGGTGTCCGAAGTGCAGAGTTATATGCTCACCCTTGCAAATAAACACAGACCAAGGTGACCAGGTAAGAAGCCACCTGGGCTGTGAGTCTGTGCACGGGGGCTGTACAGGAAAGTCAGGAGAAGCCAGAGGTCAGAGTAAACGATGAGATAAGCAAAGGTCAGGAGCCATCTGGAGAACATTGGATACACAAAAACTGGAACCAGAGTCAATGAACTGACACTGCCCTCAGAGAGAGGCAGTGTTTTATACCTGGCTAATAGCGATAAGCTTCAGGTGGACTGAGCAAGATAGCTGCAGCCACAGGAAAAGTCCAATCCCCAGTGCTGGAGAAAAGGCAAGGAAAAACACCAGGCTGCAACAAAAACTGAAATGTGTGGCTCAAAGGTAAATCAGCAGGCCCAACACACAGAAGGATCCAAGTTCATATCCCCTGTTGGGTACTTCTGGGGCGACCACGTCTGGATGTCACGGTGAGAACCATGGCAGATATTATGTAATATCAGGGTCTACCTTTTGTGCATCAGTAGCTGACAAGTGACTGTTCTGCCCTGTTCTCAATCCTGTGTTCAGTACCGAGGAGGTGATAAAATAGGGGTTCTCAAGGAGCAGGTATTCTGGGCCGTTTTTGAAAGCATCTCTGTGTGGAGCTCCCTATCCTGTGTCTATTCCCCTAAAAAAAAAAAGAGAGAGAGAGTATTTTTTTTTTATATTTAAAACAATTATTTGTTTTGAAAATAAAATAATGTTAAAAGCTACAGTGTATAATATCTAATAAAGTAAAGTAAATAATAAGTGCATAAAAAAAATCTGAATAATTCTCTAAAGCAGTGTACTACGCCATCGTGACTGACAAAGATATAGCAGATGTCTCCTATAGCAATGAACAACTATTCAAGATATGACCTGCATTGACTAAGCTGGGTTTGGAATCATCATTGCATTTCACTATTATACTAGTATATAAGCTCAATTTATAAATTATGAAATATGGGGTTGTAACGAACCCTGAAGTGGTAGCAATGGGTTCGTATGATTTGGCCGAACGGCTGAGAGCCTGGATGATTATAGCTCACCGTTCGGTTCTTCTGGTCGGTAGTTAAAGTCCAAAGAAACTAAATCCTCTAGTACAGCTTTCCCCAAGTAGGAATCAGGTACCCAAACACCAGCCGAAACATGATGAAGGGTGTAACAAGACTAATGTTTATTGAGACCACACAGGCTTTTATGGAGGTCCCTTTGCAGGAGGACCTCCCACAGTACACAAACTAAATAGCCAATCATAAGGTACAGTTACACTTAAACACTCCGTGCCTCCGCCTGTGAGATAATGAGATAAGTTAAGGAATAACCCAATTATCTCCAGGTGAAGTGCACACATTTTCCCCAAAACTCAGAACACCCCTTTATGCTTAAGGTATATGTGACAAATGTCACATCTCCTGATAGCCCTGATCTGGGGGAACAACATATTCAAATTTCACCCAGATCGGTTCAGAGGTTTTTAAAAAGTGTGGAAGTCTTAAGTTTCCGACCACACAGAAAGCTCTTGCCCAAAATAGTTCCACGAATTCAGCGTGTGCGGTCGGTCAATTCTGAAAATGTTAAATAACTACATAATCCACGAACGGAGCCTCCTGGCTCATAGGAGCGATCGTTCCCCTCACACGAATACATCAAAGTACTGAAAAGTGCTCTCCAGGCTGTTCGGGAAATACAGTTCCATCGTTCGTATGTTTGAGACCGGTGTTCGGGAAGTCGATTGTCTGATTTTTGTTCCAGACACTCGACGACCAAGTCCCGCTGCCTTTGTCCTGAACAAACAAGATGGATGCCGTTTTCTCTGCCATGTGGCATTTGTATATACGAATGGCGGCCACCCTGAGAGAGCGCTTAATTGATGGGCTCCTTTGAAGTTAATGAGCCAGGAGGGTGGTCTGTGTTCGATAGTTTCAATCTACCGAACCAATGTGGCATAAATTAGCCGAATAAACTAAACAGATGAATGCTCAGAGAAAACCCAGAACTCCCAGTGGGCTTTCTCACAGGGGTGCACTGATTTTACATAGCAAACATACATAAATTATACGGATGCATTTTTGTGTATAATAATGTTACCACGCGACTGAGCTTTTGCGTTGCAATAAAAAAATCTTGGTATTTTAGGTTTATGTTTTTTTCAGCCATCATTTTCTTTCTTATTATGCCCATGCATTTTAAATATTGTTTCTGTGCATATTAGATATTGTTTTAAGAGGAAAACATTACATTTACATAACTACAAATAAAAAAATGCAAAACATATTGTCGCAGTGTTTCTAATAATAATTTGTGCACACATAGTACAGTTAACCCATTAAGGACTGAGGCTCTTTTGAGATGTTAAACATTTGGGTTTGAAGCAAAAACAAATGCCTTTTTGGCACTTTTGCTATACACCCATTCTCCAATTTCACTCTTTTTGTTTAAGTGCACCCATACATGATATATATAATTGTTAAAGGAAAATAGTGCTTTTTGACATCCTATATGTATACATTTGATAATATTAAATATGAATAAAAAAGTAAAAAAAAATGTGGAGAACATGCTTTTCTATGTTTTACAATTAATAACTTTCATTAATTAAGTTTCATTTTGCAACTAAAGAAAATGAACTCAAATTAGTTTCACTAATTATTCCTTATTGTTAAAATTTCAAATATGTCAAAGAGTGAATTATGGTTTTAAAGGATCACTCCAGTCTTCCTAACAGCAGCATCAAAATTAAGTTGTTATGGTGCCAGGAGGCCCCTGGGCACTCTTACGTTAAAGGGACACTGCAGTGCCAGGAAAACAATCAGTTTTCCTGGCACTGCAGGTCCCCTCTCCCTCCCACCCCCATCCCAGGTTGCTGAAGGGGTTAAAACCCCTTCAGTGACTTACCTTTATCCAGAGCCGATGTCCCTCGGCGCTGGTTCAGGGTCCACCCACGCTCCTCCCCCGCCAACGTCATCCGACGGGGAAGACCTATTGCGCATTCGCGGCAATGCCGCGAATGGGCATTAGACCTCCCCATAGGAAAGCATTGAAAGATGCTTTCAATTCTTTCCTATGGGGATTTCAGCAATGCTGGAGGTCCTCATATAGCGTGAGGACATCCAGCGATGCTATAGCACAGAAGATCTGTGCTATAAACCAGGAAGTGCCCTCTAGTGGCTGTCTAGTAGACAGCCACTAAAGGAGGAGTTAACCCTGCAATGTAACTATTGCAGTTTATGAAAACTGCAATATTACAGTTGCAGGGTTAAGGGTAGTGGGAGGTGGCACCCAGACCACTCCAATGGGCAGAAGTGGTCTGGGTGCCTGGAGTGTCCCTTTAAGGTGTTAAACAATTCCTGAACAGTTTAACCTTAAAAAGCTGCCTCCATTGCCAGTTCTCCAAGTCCTCCAGCAGCATCCGGCATAAGCTTTAAGAAAATCAGTAGCTCCCCATTCATAAAAAATATATAGTTTTTTTATGAACAGTTTAACTCCTTAAGGTAAGAGAGCAGTAGGGGGCCTTCTGGCACCATAATCCAACCAAAAATCCTACCTATAATCCAATTTCAAACCCTACCTACAAGACTAACCATAATCCTCTCCATAAATCAATTCCTAATCCTACCCATAATGCTACCCCTAATTCTACCTTATCAGTACTCACATCATCAAGAAGTTGAATCTAGGGAATATGTCTATTGTAATACAAACTACGGTGGTGAAGGGGATTCTGTACTTCAATGAAGCTATGAGCTATACCATGTAGGGGCACCCATGATGGGCAGGTCATAGCAGAGAAATAAGACAAATTGCGGTCCACTGGAAAAAGAACTGGCAACTCATTCCAGTAACGTTGCTAAGATAACTATATGGACAAGCACAACCAGAGACATAACGATATGGCACTGGAAGATGAGCCCCTCAGGTCAGAAGGTGCCTACCACATTACTGAGGAAGAGCGGAGGGTGAGTACAATTAGCACCAGATCTAATGAAGTAGTTGGGCCAAAGCCGAGAGGACACCCAACTGTGGATGTGTTTGGAGGGGAAAGGAAAGTCAGCTGCTGCAAAGACCAATTTAACATAGGAACTTGGAATGTTATAACTATGAACCAAGGCAAATTGGATGTGATCAAACATGAGATGACAATGTTAAACATCGATGTCCTGGGAATTAGTGAACTCAAATGGACTGGAATGGGACATTTCACATCAGACAACTATCACATCTTCTACTGTGGACAAGAATCCCGCAGAAGATATGGAGTAGCCATCATAGTAAATCATCGGGTGGGCAAAGCAGTGCTCGACTACAACCCAATAAATGACAGAATGATTTCAATTCGAATTGAAGGCAAGCCATTTAACATCACAGTGATCCAAGTTTATGCTCCAACCATGGATGCTGAAGAGGCTGAAATTGTTCACTTCTATGAAGAAATTTAACACATTATAGATATAACACCAATAAAAGATGTTACTATCCTTATAGGAGACTGGAATGCTAAAGCAGGTCAGAGATTAGTACAATTTTCTGGTCATAGCAAACACCCTCTTCCAACAGGCTCCAAGATGACTCTACACATTAACATCACCAGATGGACAATATAGAAATCAGATTGACTATATAATTTGCAGCCAAAGATGCAGGAGCTCTATACAGTCAGCAAAAACAAGACCTGGAGCTGACTGTGGCTCGGACCATGAGCTTCTCTTGCAAAGTTCAGAATTAAACTGAAGAAAAGAGGGAAAACCATCAGACCTATCAGATATGACATAAATAATATCCCTTGTGAATATGCAGTGGAAGTAGAATAGATTTGAGGGACTAGACGTGGATGTTAGAATGCCTGAAGAATTTTGGACCAAAGTCTGCAAAATTATCCAGGAAACCGCAAGAAAAATATACCCAAAAGACAGAAATCTAAGAAGGCAAACTGGCTATATGATGAAGCTTTAAAAATAGCCCAGGATAGAAGAAAATCGAAAGGTGGTGGGGATTGGAAAAAATGTGTCAAACTGAATGCAGAATTCCAAATGATATCAAGAAGAGACATTCTACAATGAGCAATGTAAAGAGATATAAGAAGATAACAGAATGGGAAAGTCAAGAGATCTATTCAAAAAAATTGGGGATCTAAAAGTTACCTTTCAAGCCAAAGTGGGTGTGATAAAAGACAAAAATTACAGGGACTTAACAGAAGAAGATCAGATAAAGAAGAGATTGCAGGAATACACTGAAGATTTATACAGGAAGGATCTTAACAGCAGTGATGACCTCAATAGTTGGTCCAATGAGATGGAACCAGAAATCCTGGAGTGCGTAGTAAGATGCGCCCTAGGATGCCTTGCAGATAACAAGACTGCAGGAGTTGATGAAATCCTAATTGAACTATTAAAAATTCTGCAAGATGATGCTGTGAAAATTCTGCTTGCCTTATGCCAACAAATTTGGAAAACTCAACAGTGGCCAAAAGACTGGAAAAGGTCAGTCTACATCCCAATCCCAAAAAGGCAATGCCAAAGAGTGCTCCAATTATCGAACAATTGCACTAATTTCACATGCCAGTAAGGTAATTCTTAAGATCCAACAAGCTCCACTACTACAATATATGGACTAGGAATTACTAGATGTACAAGCTGGATTCCGCAGAGGACAAGGCACAAGAGATCAAATTGCCAATGTACAATGGATAACAGAGAAAGCCAGAGAGTTCCAGAAAAACACATATTTCTGCTTCATAGACTATTCTAAAGCCTTTGACTGTGTGGATCACAACAACATGTGGCAAGTTCTTAAAGAGATGGGGAGTACCAGATTGTCTCATCCGCCTCCTGAGGAATCTGTATGTGGACCAAGAAGCCACAGTCAGAACTGAAAATGGGACAACAGAATGGTTCAAGATCGGGAAAGGAGTGCGACAAGGTTGTATGTTGTCAACTTATTTATTCAACTTATATGCAGAATACATAATATGTAAGGCTGGGCTGGAATCAATATTGACTCAATCCAGAGCTGGAATCAATATTGCTGGAAGAAATACCAACAACCTCAGATACGCAGATGATACTTACTCTAATGGCTGAAAGTGAGGAATAACTAAAGGACCTGTTGATGAGGGTAAAAGAAGAGAATGCAAAAGTTGACTTGCTGCTTAACGTTAAAAAGACTAAGATAATGGCAAACAGCAATCTTAGTTCCTGGCAAATAGATGGGGAAGAAGTGGAGGCAGTGACAGATTTTATTTTTCTGGGATCTAAGATCTCTTCAGATGGTGACTGTAGTCATGAAATTCAAAGACGTTTGCTTCTGGGGAGGAAAGCTATGGCAAGCTTGGAAAAGCTCGTAAAAACTAAAGATATTACACTATCAACAAAGGTCAGCATAGTCAGAACTATGGTATTCCCAGTAGTAACATACGGATGTGAGAGCTGGACTATAAAGAATGCTGAGCGTCGTAGAATTGATGCCTTTGAACTTTGGTGTTGGCGAGAACTGCTTAGAATCCCTTGGATTGCAAGAAGATCCAATAAATCCGTACAGCAGGAAATCAAGACAAACTGTTCACTGGAAGCTATGATCATGAGGTTGAAGCTCAAATATTTTGGCCATATAATGAGAAGGCAGGGTTCTCTAAAGAAGACTTTGATGCTGGGAAAGATGGAAGGCACACGAAGAAGGGGACGACAGAGACGGAGATGGATAGATGAGGTCACTGAAGCCATGAACATGATGTTGTTGGAGCTCAGAGGGGCGGTGACTGACAGATGTACCTGGCGTGCTATGGTCCATATGGTCACGGAGAGTCAGACACGACTGAATGACTAAACAACAACAATACAAACAGCTAACACAGTTTATCAAAATAATTTCTGTGGACTGTGTTTGATATATAAAGCTGCCAAGCAAATGCCATCGAGCAAAAACTGCCTTTGTGTTCAATGAAAATAAATGTTAACATCAATGGTATGGCTGGACAAAGAGTTTTCATCCAATGCAAGAAATAAAAATGCTTTCTGCCTTGTGGGAATTAGAGAAATGGTCTGTTTCTAGCAAAATCTTTGCTATTTCTATTATGAATTAAATCTGTTTCCAGACCAGGGGCAGAACAGATCATGAGATCAACACAGAACCTATGAACCTGAACTCAGAAGTGCAGAGCATGAAGACAGAGCTAGTTAATTGGTGAAGCCCCGGAGACTGTCCGATAGTATTAGTTATATGTGCTGTAGCTGCAATGCAGAAGTGTCTTTTTGAATTTTTATAAATATACCATAGATACATATAAAAAGAACATTATTTTCTGGAATAAAAGTGTTTTAAGAAAGAGTATAGATTGTATGATTCTGTAGTATGTTCAAAATGAAAATTATGCAATCAGTGCAAAGTGTCATTATTATTATATGTTCCTGAACGAGAAATATTTTTGTGCTAAGATACTTGTTCATGGTTTGAAAACTATCTTAAAAAGTGCAAAAAGTAGATGTTAGTGAACATTTTTCATTTTGTAGATGAGGAACAGTGGTAACATTTTAGGTTATTTTGTATGTACACTTTTCTTTAATTAATGATCTTAATGGCATTCAGTCACATATATTTATTTTCTATGACACAAAACATGTTGAGGTAATACAATCTGAGCAGGATGTCACTTTTTTTTTCAAACACATTTTTAACCAATAACAGAGGGAAGGGATACAGAATAAGAAAAAGGTAAAGGAGAGAGAGCTTTTCCATCCACAATAATACAAAAATTAATACAATTATTCAAACACATGTAGGATCCCTGCCCCCCTTGTCCTCCTTAAATAAGTAAAAAAAAAACTCATTTTTTCAAGCACCGAGCGAGTCTGACGTTGTTGGCCCACCCTTGATTTGCCTCTTTGACTGACATCATCAGAATTGATGATTTCAGCCAATCATAATTCTTTACCATACATTGTACATCGCTGCAAAACTTGTTGGCCCTTTTAAAAATAATAATAATAGGAAAGCATCAGATTAGCTGAGGCCCCACCTCACCCCCAGCCAAGAAGTCAGGGATGGGACCAAATGCCACCCTCAGCATTTCCTCATAGAGATGCATTGATTCATTGCAGTGTTCAGCGTTCACACTGTGCATCACTGCCCAGGAAGCACCTCCTGGCTCCAATGGCTGTCAAAGATGCGTTCCTTTCGGGCGCCATGTTCTGGGGTGTGTTCCTGCTTAGTGTCAGGAATAGAATGGCTCCAAAATGGAACGCATGACGTTAGGCATCACCGCGTACCGAGCGCAGTGACATCATTAAAGACAAAATTGGACATGGACATTAATACCAATCAAGGGGATTTAAAAGGAGGGAGGGAGGGATTTTATTGCACTTTATTGTATTGTTGGTTTGCACAGCTCCTTGTCCTTGAGGAGGTCCCTTGTTAGGACAAAACGCATAGGACTGGTAGACTGGTAGACTGGTATTTTTACTACCACACATGCTGTTTTTAAGCAGGGACGTGTCTTACATTAGGCAAACAAGGCATCTGCCTTGGGCGGCACTTTGCAGGGGGAGGCAAAAAAGCCACCCCCAAACGCCCAGGCAGATCCCTTGTTTGCCTGATGTCCTAGGGGGCTTAAGAGCTGGCTGGCTGGCCACTTTACAATTTATTAGTATTTGCACTATATTTTTGCAATTTCTTTTTCCAAACATCTATGGTCCAATGCTACTGAGGCTACATAGCAACAGGAGAAAACCTATTGATATCACCAAACATATTATGAAGGCTTGAACTTGACATTTAAAGTATGAGTGGTATCTAGCACCACTTTTAAAGGACCACTATAGTGCCAGGAAAACATACTCGGGGTGGAAGGGGTTAAATCTTACCTCCTTCGGCGGTGGGGACTCTCCTCCTTCTTTCCACGTCAACGGCTGAAAGCGCTTGCGCGGCACGAGCCGTGCATGCATTCAGCCAGTCCATATGAAAGCATTCTCAATGCTTTCATATAGACGCTGGCGTCTTCTCACTGTGAAAATCACAGTGAGAAGCGCAGAAAGCGCCTCTAGCGGCTGTCAATGAGACAGCCACTAGAGGCTGGATTAACCCATTTGTAAACATAGCAGTTTCTCTGGAACTGCTATGTTTACAGCAGAAAGGGTTAATTCTAGATGGACCTGGCATGCAGACCACTTCATTAAGCTGAAGTGGTCTGGGTGCCTATAGTGGTCCTTTAAAATCAACATCGTTAAGCACTATGTTGTGCCTTTCTTCTCATTCTCCCTAGCAGATTCACCCCTATTGTCTGTATATATTTATGTTTGAAGATTGAGGAAGCCTTCGGGGTTGTCATTTCTACATAAGGGAAGTTTCATTCAAGAACATATATACATTTTTATATATATTTTTTTACTTTTGTTTGCACAGTTCCACTGCCAAAGGATTGTGATTGTCAACTTGCATATTTCTATAT